TTCATTTTAAAAGCTGCTTTAAATGTTGGGCACTCATTCAAAGTGTGGTGGTCTTTTGTTCTGCTTTTGTATGGTGCACACACCTGCTTGTGTTTTTTAGAAAGAGGTGTTGTTTGCTTTGCAACTGATTGGGACTAGGATCCTTTTGTTGCATGGTAGCAACTGATAAACTCTTGTTCTACAGTATGATGTTAGGTAATATGTTTTTCTTTTTGAGGTTTAATGACATTTCTGTTTGTATTTCAGGTAATAAGCATCAAAGATAATGACAGCTTGGCTGCACGACTGTCTGTTGAAATGAAAGCCGACCTGCTCATTGCCCTCTCTGATGTTGAAGGTACAAAAATCACCACTTAGTTCGTGAATCATAATGATTAACTTTACTTAACTTTGCTTATGTCTTATGTGACTATGAGAAAAGAAGGTCGTATCAAGGTTTTCTTAGCTTTCTTTTGGGACTTGATAACAGAAACTGGAAGACATTTGCCAGGTAGAGGGGGGCAAAAGAAAGATGCTAATGAGATAATGTACTTAATAGGAAATGTAGAATACATGTTTTTAAGCCTCTTCTTTACTTGAGGCTAAAAGTTAGGATAGCTCAGCATCAGGTACCCTGATTTTGTTTTTTGTGGGTTCCCAAAACAACACAGAAGAGTAATGCTAAATCACAGGAGTACTTTGAATAGTTAATCAGGAATCAAAATATTCATAGGTTTATCAAAATAATATAAATGTTTTGTTTACTGTCTTGATTCTTTTAATAAAATGTTATCAATATAAAGGATTAAACAAGAACAAATCTGTCCCACAGGCTTATACGACAGACCCCCAGGAACAGATGATGCCAAGCTCATTGATATATTCTATCCTGGAGATCAGCAGTCCATCACCTACGGCACTAAGTCCAGAGTCGGCATTGGCGGCATGGAAGCCAAGGTCAGCCTGACGATCAATATTGTATCTAAAAGTGTTGACATGAATAAGTTGGTTAAATTATGAAAAATGTGCATTATACTCAATCATGTCCTCTGAACAGGTGAAAGCAGCCCTCTGGGCTCTTCAGGGCGGGACGTCTGTTGTCATCGCTAACGGCACAAATCCTAAAGTCACAGGCCACGTCATCACAGACATCGTGGACGGGAAGAAAGTTGGCACCTTCTTCTCTGAAGTGAAACCTGCAGGTATGGCGTAACATCATCTGGGAAGAATATTTTGCCTACTTGTTGTGTTTGTGTTTTTATATTTCATGAGTTTTATTGACACCAACAGGTCCAACTGTGGAGCAGCAGACTGAGATGGCCCGGCATGCTGGCAGGACTCTGGCCTCACTGGACCCTGAGAAGGTGAGTTCTCTGCCCCCTCAGTGTGGTCTGGACTAAATTATTTCATATGAACACCATGATCTCCTGGAGTCCACTCAATTATTTTAAGGTTCGATTGCAGTATACATATATATGTGGGTTTTCTTTTTATTTCTTTAGCATGAAATATTAAGGAATCCAAACATTTATGAGGATTATTTTAAGGTTACACTTCCTGAACAAAATGTATATTATACCTCCAACGTGTTATTCCTAAATGAATTTTGACATGAATACAATAGGGAGAGACAATCTCTTGGTCAGCACAAACAATTAACATGAAAACTGGGGGAAAAAAGTGAATCATTTTCAAAACAGGAAGCAAAGGGTTGCCAAACTCATTAATTGTTTACAAATACTGGTTGTAGCTTTAAATACTCTTGATTGGGGTATTTGTTAATCCTATCGAGGTGTTTGTTTTTCTAGAGAGGAGAAATCATCTGCCATCTTGCTGATATGCTTACGGAGAAGAAAGAGGAGATTCTCAGTGCCAACAGGAGGGACATGGAGTTAGCAACAACATCAGGTACGGAGGGTGTTGAGAAGACCCATTGTCCACCTTAATCTACAGCTGCATGCTATGCTCTCCCTTAAATGCAGTGACTCCGTACCACTTCCACATGTGCCAGTGTGCATTAGCTTTGTTATCTGTGAAGGGCTTAAGATTGCATGATACTTATATTTCTATCATTTTGAGTCATTGATTGTGTTGTAGTGAGTAGGGTATGTACTCCCTAAATGTAGTTTTCATTCCTTTTTTTGATGCCTCAGCTTGCCAAAAGCATACAGTATTTTATGTACAGATCTTTAGACTTTTGCATTATCAGAGTTTTTATTAAAAAAAATCGTGCAGGTCGTCTCTCCCAGCCAATGATCGACCGCCTGAGTCTGTCAACCTCTAAGCTGAACAGCCTTGCCATCGGCCTCCGTCAGCTCGCAGTGTCCTCACAGGACAGCGTGGGTCGGGTGCTGAGGAGGACCAGGGTGGCCAACAACCTTGAGCTGGAGCAGATCACTGTCCCTATCGGTGTCCTGCTGGTCATCTTCGAGTCGCGTCCAGATTGTCTCCCACAGGTCAGTAAAGCCCACCGCTCAGCATGTAGAGCTACACCGTTAGCTGCTGGTTTTGGAGACATTGCACATCTTTACCATTGATTGTAAAACTCACATATTTATGTTATTGTGTTCCAGGTGTCTGCTCTGGCTATTGCCAGTGGAAATGCTTTGCTGCTGAAGGGGGGTAAAGAAGCTTCTCACAGCAATAAAATTCTTCATCAACTCACTCAGGAAGCACTTTCCATTCATGGAGTCGCAGATGCCATTCAACTGGTAAATAATAATAATAACTATAAACGTTTTTATATAGCACCTTTCATGCAAGATGCAGCCCAAAGTTGATCATTGAGTTATGACTACACATAGTGAGTTTGTAAATAATAACATTCTGTGACATTCACCCTGACGTATAGGTGAGCACACGTGAAGAGGTGGAGGATCTGTGCAGACTGGACAAGTTAATCGACCTGATCATTCCAAGGGGCTCGTCGGAGCTCGTCCGGAGCATCCAAAGGGCGGCTAAGGGTATTCCTGTGCTGGGCCACAGCGAGGGTGTCTGTCACGTCTACATCGACAACGATGCCAGCATAGACAAAGCTATAGAGATTGGTACGTGGTACTTTATGGTCCGACTGTGATAGTAGAACAAATGTTGTTTACATTTCTGCTATGGTTTGGTTTCAAAGTTGTAGAAATGGGATACAAAATATATTTTTCCTATTTGAGCAGTTGTAATTCTATTTTTTAGATGTTTCCAAAGGGTTATTAACTGCTAAATTAATATAAGATGACTAACTTATTTCTCATTCCAGTCAGAGACTCCAAATGTGACTACCCTGCAGCCTGCAATGCCATGGAGACTCTCCTTATCCACAAGGATTTACTGCGCACTCCTATGTTTGACCAGATGATTGACATGCTGAGAACACAACATGTAAGAAACAAACACACAGACACTCAAACTTACTAAGTATTACGCATCACAATTGAAGGGTATGTGTTTACATTTTAAATGAATCTCCAGCAACTGTCTCGAGTGCTAGGCGTTTGTTTCAGTACAGTGAATCGTTTTTTTGGACTCATTTATTTACTTATTCTGTTGATAAATCTTTGCTTTCTTTCAGGTGAAGATCCATGCCGGCCCTCGGTTTGCGTCGTATTTAACTTTCAGCCCATCCGAGGTGAAGTCCCTGAGGACAGAGTATGGGGACCTGGAGTGCTGCATTGAGGTGGTAGACAGCATGTCGGATGCTGTGGATCACATCCACAAATACGGCAGCTCCCACACGGATGTCATTGTTACAGAAAATGAAGAGACGGCTGAACAGTTTCTGCAGCAGGTGGACAGCGCCTGTGTGTTCTGGAACACCAGCACTCGCTTTGCCGATGGCTACCGCTTTGGCCTAGGTAAGTACCGTGCCAGGCATGACGACATACATCCTTGGAACTAACTTATAACTTTCTTGAAGATAGGTCAGGAGAGTTCATTCTACTTTTCTTCTCTTGCAGGAGCTGAGGTTGGTATCAGTACAGCCCGGATACATGCCAGAGGTCCAGTAGGTCTGGAGGGGCTTCTGACCACCAAATGGGTCCTTCGAGGGGAAGGGCACACTGTGGCTGACTTTTCTGAACAAGGCAGTATGAAATACCTTCATGAAAACATCCCTGTCTCCCAGGGGAACTTTATCGCCCGACCAAAGAGCCATCAACAGGAGTAACTGATTTCTACGCAGAGTTTATTTAAAGGTTTGGTTTTGCCAGTAACACTTCAACTTTTTAGCCGCTGCTTCATCATCAACATCATCATCATCCACTATGCCGTAGCAGAAAATTTGCATGCAGAATAGAGGATACTTTACCTGGACGACCTGTTCATAAACTTGTGAATCAATTTATATTTAAAACTCCCTGATATCTCCTGAGACAAAGAGTGTAACGATACAAATAAACTTATTCAATTTTCTGTGACCAGTGCACACAAAATGTGTGCAAACGCAACGCTGTTTCGTCTTCAAGGTCCTTTTATAGTAGCATTGGCCTGGCCGGGATTTTGTGAATTATTTTTCTATGTAAAAACTTTTTTGTAATTTACTGTATGTGTTTTTTCTGCTGGATGTTGGTTATGATTGATTTTTTTTTTCTGTCCTTTTTCCTCCCACAAATGATTTAATAAACAATCTGTACAGTTCTCTACTCTTGATTTCTGGTTTTGCATCATATTGTCTCTTTAAAAAAATGCATTCAGTATTCATTCATTTGACTTATTAACCAATTGAATTGAGAACTTTAGTATTTAGTCATTCTAACATTTAAATGCTTAACAGATTAATAATTTAAGCCAAAACAATATTTGCACCGAGGCCAATCACAACCTTGTTACGCCACTGTACACAGAGATGCTGTATGAGAAACCAATGTGAGTTTGGAAAATTGCACAATATAAATCTATTCTAGTATACCTCAACAATGGAATTATGATCAGTAGAAATGGCTATGACATGGGACCTTTAAGATTTATTTTATTTTAGCTCCCACCTCTCCTGAACGTAGCACATGTGACGTAGAGGGAGTGGGCGTGGTCGAACTGCAGTACTTGCCCAGACTGAACACCGGGTAAACCCAGCTGTCATTTGACTCTATGCTAAAAATGGCAGGAAACAGTTCTTATACTATAGTTGAATATTTCGGCGGGGATTCGGGTTACCGGTGTGGTTACTGTAAGAATGATGAAGGAAACTTTTCTCATGGTGAGTGTCTAATCCAGTAGGAAACAGTCGCTTCACTGAACTGACTCATGCTAACCACCTAGCCCCGTCTACTTGCTGGGTTTGGTAGAGTGCTAGCTAATGTTGGCTCTTTAAATATTAAATGTCACTTAATTTGAGTAATTTATGTTAGGTGTGCTTACCTACACTTAACATGTAACAGAGTGCACATAAACTAGTGCTCAACTAACGTAATTGGTTAGTGTCAGGTTGTTTGCCTTACTTACGCTGGATTTTTAGCAATTAGCATCCAATTGCCCAACGCTATTCTTAGGAAAACACAAGACTGCTCAAAAACATATGTAAGTAAGGTTATGCTGGTATTGGGGAACTACTTTTGGCTATAATGTTTACTCAAGACTAACGCTGTAACATTAGCTGCTTCAGAAGACTTGGGTACATTTCCACTACCATCATGCTAGCTAACAACTCATAGCAGGAGGAAGATGCCCTCACAAGCGAAAGTGCAGCTGTCTCGATTTCATATAGTCTGTTATTGCAGTGGCACTGAGTGTAGGGTTCTCTAAATGTTTGCTAAAAAGACTGGCGTAAAATCTATCATGTATTTATATGTTTTGGCGTGGAGAGGTCTGTGATTTTATTTGACGTTTAACGATGTGTGAAGTGCTGCAATAGCACACACATGAGAGCTAACATGAGACAGAGATTTCACAACACGCTGAATCAGAGTGTTTACCAAGTACTCCTTGGAATCTCAACAAACTGCTTTTACTGTCACTGTGGCATCTGGGGTCAAAGCCTATTGCTACTGCAAGAAATGATTCTTGTAGTTAAAGTAAATGCTGGAAAAAGGATATGAGAAACAAATACTCTATCCAGCTGCAGTGGAAAATCAAATTGTGGGTCTGGGCTTACTTCCAATTTAACCCTGAAATAGTTTGTTAAAAGTAAAAATACAGGGCATGCCACTTTAAATACTTAATCATATTTAAAACAACACAACTAGTTGTCAATGCAACTGTTTGTCATTACAAAAAGCAATATTGTCACAACCACATAAAGTACAATTTACAGAAAAACACTAGTAAAATAACTGAGAAAGCTAGAAGCTAGTTCAAGTGATGAACCAGGAGGGAGCCTGCTGGATAACTGGATTACTTAATGAGAAGCAGGGCAAGCTTTGTATAAAAGGTTAACTCCGGGTAGAGTTTCAGTAGCCCTCAAGTATCATTCAGCGCCAGAAACATTCCTTCCAGGAATCTGTTCATACGGAGGGTGACACGGATCAGTCATGTGTCGTAAAGGTTTTTAAACTCTCTGTACAAGACAACTGAGCTGCCAGAAAACTAAAAATATGCATGCTGCGAGAGGCTTCCATTTAAAGGGAAACCAAGGTCAATGTAATGTATTAGTGAAATTTCTGAGTTGTGTAAGATGGATGTGACAGCATGCTTTAATTTAGTGTCTAGAGAGGGTGAGAGGTCGACTAGGTTGAGGGTTGAGGCAGTTCCTAATGCTGTCAATGAAACATTGGGCTCAGAGCCAGCAGACGAGAGCTGTCTAATCTAAAATAAGAGTGGTAATCTGGATATGCTGCATCGTGTGGGCAAGGCAGATTCTGGAGAGGAAGGTAGACTGTACTCCCAGTGGGATTCTAATAAGTAACAGTGTTAAAAGGTTGTGTGTTCCTCCATGTGCTGATACAGGTTCAATCAGTACACCAGACCTGCAACTATCAGATGTACACAAGATCTCAAGCTTGTCAAGTTGGTTATTTTCAGACTGCAGAAAATAAAAAAAACACTTAATTTTGTCATGTTATAATCACCCCTTAGTGCTGATTTACCGGGGAAGACTTATGAAACAGTATAGGTCAACAGTGATTATCAGATCAGTGTTTTTGCTGTACTTTAAACCTTTCCAAGCAGGTGGTAAGCGAGAGGTTTCCCTCTATTTGATTGGCTTGCTGATGTTATCAACAGTGTTGTTACATGCAAAGCAAACCCTGCCCCACTCTAAGGAGCTCAACATCTGCCCTCCTCTGTGTGAGTGTCTGTCAGGCCTCAGGGAAGGCTGAACAAATGGATTAGATGAGAGCGACAGAGAGACACTCCCATAGTGCCATGATGTTGGCAGATATTGCATTTACAGAAAAACTGACATTACAGGTTTACCTCTGGAAATATCTTTTCCATAGTAATCCGGCTTTAATTAGCCCTGCCCTGTTATTCATTTGCTCTTAAAGGTTGTTATTGATGCAATGTTTCCCATATACATTATTTATACTCCATTAAAAGCATCCTTAATATAAAAAACCACTGAACAGAATACTACAAAAAGTATTTAATAATCAGATTGATTAACATGATAATTTGACATCTCTGAGATTATGATAATTTGGGGTCGTAGAATAGAGGTTAAAGGGCAGAAACCCCGCCAGAAATTATGTTCTGAATGAATTGTGAGGCCTTATACAGTATGTGTGGTATTGAAAGATCTCCCCAACAATTCTAAATGATGGATATATGCTGCACATTTTTTGGGATGTTTTCCCTGAAAAATGCTGCTCTGTCTTCATCGTTCAAGGCAAGGCAAGTTTATTTATATAGCACATTTCAACACAAGACAATTCAAACTGCTTAACAAAAATGAAAGACATTAAGAAACATATTATGAAATGACATTTAAAAACACTCATTTAAAAGCAAAGATAATAAAATATGAATAACACAGGTACATGAATAAAAGTTACAATGCAGTGTGAGATATGAATAGTTCAATTAAAAGCAGCGACAAAAAGAAAAGTCTTCAGCCTGGATTTAAAAGTAGTCAGAGTTGCAGCGGACCTGCAGGTTTCTGGTAGTTTGTTCCAGATATTTGGAGCATAATAACTGAACTTCTCCATGTTTAGTTCTGACTGGGGACAGAAAGCTGACCAGTCCCTGAGAGATCTGGATGGTTCATAATTTAGCAGGAGGTCAGAAATGTATTTTGAGCCTAAACCATTCAATGCTTTATAAACCAGCAGCAGTTCAAGTGTAACCGTTTCCATTTTAAATTGGTTACTTTAAACCTTCAACATATGATAATATTTGATCACTTCCAGTCAATTTCTAAGAATAACTGTCCGGTTGGATTCCCCTAATCTTTTTCCATTTAACATGATAGTGAAAAACTATCTCTGGACACATTGAATATGTGATAACAATATTTGTTTAAGTCATTTTAATGGCATGTGAAAAAAAACACTATGGAAGACCAATCTTGACCTACTCTGATTATCAGATATGTTATTTATTAAGATAATGATGTCCGGATCTTTAAACTATGTAAAAGATGTTGCTCTACCCCTAAAGTAAATCTGTAGTCTTCTTCAGTCATTGCTTCCTTGTTGTAGTGTGTCTCTTTGGACTGGACATTGCAATCTCGGTTCTGTGTTGTGTGAAGTGTTTACAGTGAATTCCCTCAACTGCTCTAGATGTGAACTGATATCTCTCTTGTCTTCAAGACTTTGTTTTTGGTGTGTGCGTCACACTGTATATAGTTGCAGAGGATGAGGTCAGGAGGTCAAACGGGGAGCTCACAGCTCAGCTCTGGGAAGCAGGACCCAATCTGCTGTGGACACAGATAATATTGTATGTTACCATTAGGGACTGTGGGAATGTACTTTAGGGGACACTGTGATTTGAGCTAAAACAAAAATGTGGACCTCCCAAAAGACTTTATGAGCTGCTTCTGAATAAAGCACTCCTTACTTGTTTACATGCTTCCTCATTCAGGTTTAAAAAAATAAATTCTGTAACTCTTTAATGCTGTAATTGAGCTTTATTTTATCGAGCCAAGCTAATTATGATTCACTTCATGAATGAAACAGCATGCTCTTATGCTGATGTTTCATTTCAAAACTAGTGTGGAATCATGAAATGTTTGAAATGTTTGAAAGTTCTGATGTCCCTTTTGTATTCTCCAGGGATGTGGTCTCACACCATGACTGTACAAGACTACCAAGACCTAATAGACCGAGGGTGGAGAAGGTGAGAAGCTGTTTTTACCTTCAGGCAATCCTGCCCAGGGTGTTATGGACCTTTTTCATTTTCTGATTAATATTGTTGAAGAAATACATTTTGGGGATAATTCAAATGTGTGATTGTCTGTTTCAATAATGGTTTTCCATTATTTTATTTTCAGAAGTGGGAAATATGTCTATAAGCCCACATTGAACAAGACATGCTGTCCACAGTACACCATCAGGTAACTTCCATCCTGAAGATTCAGTTCACTTTAGAACTGACACAGCCAGATATACATGGAACACATAAGAATGAGCCACGGTTAGGGATGCAACATATGGAATATTTCTCGCTAATACTGATAATAACTCATTCCTACTTGAATCCCCTGGACGATACTAAAAAGATGAGAGAAAATATCATAATTTTTGTATCGAAAAAGGGGTCATCATAACCATAGACTGTGTAGGTCTTAACCTTTCATTTAAGCACACCTCAGGGAAACAAAGGCGAGTGTGCAAATATTGCTGATTGTGTGATTTCAGACCTGACCAATTAACCATTTTAACAGACATCAGTATTGTTAAAACAGCTAAAGTAAACCGTTGTGACTCTCAAAATGTTCATTTATTTTTGCTAGTAAAATACCAATTGCAGTCTGCCTTTTGACCAATAATTAATCAGCTAAAATGTCCTCATCACAATAGCACATGTAATACATGGACCCAATATGTATCCTACATCCCTACACTTTGTAGTTTAATATATTAATGTACCTAATACATCTTTTATAAACTAGTATATGAGCAATAACAGCAGCATTCTATGCAAATATTAATAGTTCTAAGCAAACTTTTATTTTTGTGCTCTTTCAAGATGTCATGCAACAAAATTCCAGCCCTCCAAATCTCACAAGAAAGTCCTGAAGAAGATCAGCAAATTTATTTCCAAAGGGGAAATGCCAAAAGATCAGGATAATGGTGAGAGTACATTTCTAACATTATGATATTTGAGTAGTTATCATTAATATGTGTTATCTGATAAAGTTCCCTATTGGTATACAGTACATGCATGAAAAAAGAAGTCAACACTGGACTATTGGGTTGCATAGGGGTCAGAGTGCACGGTGGGGAGTACAGTAAGGGATTGGGACAGACTCAAATAGGTTTAGTTCTGTAGGACACATGATAGTCAGCAATGTTGTCCCTTGCAGGCGAGCCGATGGACGCGGTGTGTGACCAAGCGGGGCCGCGGGAGCCCAGCAAAGCCTGTCACTCAGACGTGAAGTGTGCTGCTATCAAAGACATTCAGAAGGAACTACCAGAGTGTCCCGCTATCACAGAAGGCCAGAAAGAGGTAGTGGATGCAGCACCTGCAGCACCTGCTGTCTCAGAGACGTCAAGAAAAGATCGAGCGTCTGTGTCTGATGACAGGAAAACAGCGACAGCTACTAAACCAGGTGAGATGATTAACTGATATATAGCTGGTTATGCTGATCAGCAGTTGGGGTTGTTCTTGATGACAAAAATAAATACAAACAAAAAAAGGACATGATCTTTAAATATAGAGCTGAAAAAACGATTTGATTGAATTAAACTTGAAAAATGAGTTAGCAGTTATTCATTCAGACAATAATCAACAGATAAATCACTCGGGATAATTGTTTGTTGCAGCCCTACATGAATTAATGAATTTGGATAGCTTATGCTAAATATAGTGTGCGCATGCAGCCTTTGTCTGTTATTCTTTTGAGCTGCAGTAAGAACAACTTTCAAAACAGTCAAAGTAGCTTTACTGACAATCATCTATTCAGATGCCAAATTGCCACTTTGGTAACTGAAGCACCATTGTTGGCCAGGGTGTGTCACTGTTCACCTTGCAATAGACTTCGCTGTGCAGCAACTTGGTGACGGAGGCTGCTGTTTCTTCTGTGTTTGCAGTAGTGTGTCTGGTCAGGGCTTATCTGTCATGTTCTCCTCTTCACACTCCGGTACAGGATATCCTCACGGCCAACTCCCATTAATGAATAAATAACACTCGCATTTAGGAGATAATAAACTCTTATTAGACACAGGAAGCAGTACTTCTAACTGCTCATGTTCAAGATCTCCACCACTTATTCCCCTTTTAAACCTCTAATGAGAACATGACCCCACGCTCATTAATCAAAAAGCAGGGACTTATATTTGAGTGGAAAGGCTTGGTGTTGGCACGGTTCGATCCTGATGCAGACATAAACACATAGATAGAAAACGTTCAGCGGTGCAGGAGCAGCTCCACACTGTTCTTCCTCAGACTCTCAGGAATAACTGGCTTTTTTAGGAGGCTAGCAAAGCGGAAGCAAGGAGGATTTACTGTGTTGCACCGGTGTTTCTCCACTCCCCCCTTATTCACCTCCAACAGAAAACACCTGGACATATCTTTCCTGTAGTTTTATGACTGAAGCGCTTTATAGCTTTGGGCAGGTTCCAGTTTTAGCTGGAGAGAACACGGCTCCCCATTCCCCATATAGAGTATGCAAAGCCAGAGGTAATCAGATACAGAAGTGCATATGGAATGTATTGCAAAGCTGTCCTTGGATCTGCTTTACAGGGAATCAAGTAACTTGCATACATGTATTTGTATTCCTATAAAAGTATTTGATCAATGTGTTGTATGTGTTTCAGTAAAGGCAATGTAAGCTAAAATAGATTTGCTTTCTCCAGAGTTATGTTGCAGTGTTAATTGATTGGAAAACATCAATATACTCTGTTAAGGAGGTCATGTTTTAGGTTAGGTTTTTGGTCTGTCGTTTAGGATTACGGAAAAAAAAATTTGACCAATTTTGATTAAACTCGGTGGAAAGGTGAAGCATGGGGCAAGGAAGAACCTATAACATTTTGGAATGGATTCACACAGAAGGCAGATACACATGTTTCATTTCAAGTGGACCTATCATGCTATATTTGAATAATATATTGTAGGGCCAAACCTATATAAAACATGTCTGTGAAGTTTTTTTTTCAAAATACAAATCAGATCATGCATTTTAGCCATGCCTCATTTTGCTCTATTTGCTCTTTTCCAGCCCTGTTTTTGCATGGGCTGATTCTGTGACATGGCTTTAATGCAAATTAGCTGCAGGAGAGGGGAGCGTGCTCTGATCAGCTGCTGGGCTCTCAGAAGAGGGGGAGGAAATGAGATCTCCGTCCTCCGTGTTTTATTCTTATATGATTATATAGAGTCATTATTCATTTGTTTTAAAGCTCAATAAATAACAAAGAAGACCTTTGACCGGCACTTTTCTAATTTTGTCCGGAAGATTTCAACTTTAACGGACATGTTGACCAGCGAAAAAAAATCTAACTGAAACTCTGCTGCACGGTCCCCTCGTCCCTTGGAAGAGGCGGAGAGGTGGGTGTTTGTCATCTGCTGGTGGACTACCGGAGAGAATTACAGCGCTTGCCTCGGAGAGGGAGAAAAAGAGCCAGAGCGCCCACAGCGGAGAATAAACAGAAGGGCAACCATGCGCGGGAAGTCTTCTTTGCTGCTTTTGTGGTAGGAGTATAGCGCCACTTACAGGCCTTGCATATGTACTACAGCGTTTCCAGCGCTTTCGAGCGGCAATGGCCAGCCGTGGCCTAACCCCTCATTCCCCTGATAGGTGGAGAGTTGCCCATATAGGCGGAGCACCCCTTTTCTGACGTCAGAAAAATTAACGTCTGTATCAGCTCCGTTGCAGCCCCGTTTTTAGAGATTTGGGTATGGAGGAAAAGAGAGAGGGTTGTGTTTTCTGACACTTGGTGAGTTCCCTGACACACCGGGGACACATATTCATGTATACAAGACGTACAAAAGTGCATTTGGCATGATAGGTCCCCTTTAAGTTATTGAAGGGGCCATATAATGCTCACTTTCAGGTTTCATGAGTATTTTGTGTCTCTACTGTGACATGCTTACATGCTTTCATTCCAAAAAGGTCTTTATTTTACTCATACAGCCTCTGTGCTGCTGCACCTTTTTTCCCCCTCTGTTTGAAACCAGAGCCCAGTCTGTTCTGATTGGTTTGCTGATCGGCTGTTTTGATTGGCCAACCACTTAGAGATGTCCCGCTCCTTAGCGTTATCATGTACAATGTGTTGGAGCGCTATCCAATAGAAGTGCAAGTGTTACGGAAGAAAACAAAGGAGTTTAATCGAGGTGTTTCGGGGATGGTGTGGGAGATGAAGTTTAGCCTTTGCAGATCATTTACATGCACAAAAAACAAACAAATTACATAATAGGGCCCGGTTTACGCAGGTTAGCACCATTTCTATAAAAGAGTGGTGTTCATCAAGTGGCAGCATGACTACTTATCGGGCAAATTGTTGTAAGATGCTGTAAGAAATATGTTATAGGAAGCAGTCTGGTGTGTTTTAACTGAGGCAACATAAACAGTGCAGACAGTACAGTTTCCCAGAGAAACGGCACACAGCTCCATGTTAATATCTCAGGGCCTGTTCACAGATAACAGCATCCTCCTCCCACAGTCAATTCATTTACAGTCTCTACATGTTTACATGCGGGAGAGCAGTATGTCACCAGTCCAGACAGTTAAGGCAGATCTTCGGAGTCGTATGTGTGTTTGGGGAGGCAGAGTGTCACAGCTTTTATGAAGTGCTAACTGCTGGAGTGGGAGCATGTGCCTTCCACAGGAACTGATCTGTCAGACTCTATCTTTACCACGGCTGCGTAAACACTGTCCTGAGGAGTACCTGTGTCCCTGTGTGTGAGACATAGAGAAGGTGTGCAGTGAGATAGTAATTAGAGGCACATGGACATAAGGGTTTATGTGTTGCGGGTTAAGATGGCATGATGAACACATTTCAGACTCTGTGTAACCAGTCCTACTTGACCTCGCAGTGTTTACCGTGACCAAGAAAACCATTTACCATGCTTTACTGGCAGGGCTTCCGTCCTTTAGTGCCTCCAGCCATTTAACATTGAAGACAACACAGAAAACAGATACACTGAGATGATTTGTGACTCATGGATACATACAATGTTTTGACTGTACTGAGCAAGAGCGCAAACAGGCTGCAATGTAGTGCTTTGGAAAATTGCACACTGTCAATGTAGTATTTGTTTTTGCCCACTGACAAGCAACATTGTGGAAATAACCCTACAAAGAGATAACTATTTACTCTTTGCTTAAGACGTGTACAAAGAGCGTTGGTTATTGTGCTTTGTTCAAGTTTGCTCAAGTAGAAGTTCTGAAGTCTCAAAAGAGGGTTTTTGAGATGCATGCATATTGTTTGAAATCTGCTAAATATTCAGCCATGACATTTCAAATATCAAGCTTGAAGTGACGCTCTCTGTACTACAACTAGGGTAGTTTAATATGATGGTAGTAGCAAAGATTTGTCAAAACCATTTGAAATGTTGTTCTTGCAGGATTTTGAGATAATGCTTAATCGACTGCTGCCCAAGGTAACACGATTTGGGTTAACATAGATAAGAAGAGTTCAACTTCACAGAACTGGATGAGGATGAGAAAGAAAAAATATATAGGGATAAAATATTTTGTCCATATCGCCCACTGTCCTTACTCCAACACAACAAACCTTGGCATTATCGGCACTCCTCTTGCCAAATCTTGATCACTTTTTCACTGGCAAAAACATGACCTTTTGGTAGACATACATCTATATATGTATGTTTGTGCTCAGAGTTTTACATTGTATCCTGTGTTGTGCCTGGAGTGCCCTCGCTCAAACACTTTTTCAAAAGCTGTTATGCCCATTAGTGTGTTTTACACAAACACATGGAAAACTGGGTCTAGGTTGAAAAACAGCAAAGTCCCAGCTGGATTATGATTTAGTTACGTTATCCAAGAATATTAAACGGTTCTGGAAATTAGCAGATAGCCCATGGTTTCCTCCTTTTTATTTTATTTAAAAAAGGATGTTTCGGCCTGGCGGGAAGTCATTTGAGACCTGCCAACGGGCTTGCAACAGATTAGGGAAAACCCTGCTGGAAATAAACCAGCAGAATCTGCATATCCTTCCTGTTATGGTGTGCTTTGACTGTGGTCAGTCACAGAGTTTCCCTCTCCCCTTGTCAGGACCCAGCCCCCCCCCCACCCCTTCCTTTTGTTACGTCGACACCGGGGAAAGTTAGTAAGTGAGCTGATGGCGGCGGCTGGCAATAAGACAAGCAGGAAATGGCTCTCGTTTCCTTATTGCTCCAAACAGGATGTGGGCGTGTAAACTGTTGACATGGGATGCCCGGAGAGCTGGAGGGGGCTTGGAAGGAGCCCAGGAAGAGGCTGTGGTGGTGGTGGAGGAGGAGCAGCAGAAGAAGAAGAAGGATGAAGGGGGGGACAGAGAGCTGCTAATCCTTTGGGCTAACAGGTCATATTGTTTTATAGTTTCCTAAGCAATGATGTAATGTAGAGACTAGTGGGGCAGGGAAACAAGAAATTGACTTCCATCGGCCTTTCTGTTGAGACTGGCCTCTCAGGCAGGGGGTGCACCAAAGTAAACATGGCAGCCTACAGGGGCCAGGAGAAATCCATCGGAAACATGGTCTGACACTCAAAGTCAAACTCGAGACACATCAATAGCAGCGGCCCGAAGTTACCACCTTTCCAACTGAAGTTTGGAGCGATTCAATTATTAGTTATTACTCGCCCTTATTCTATATGCTAACCTTGAAGTGCGTCGAAGGCCACGTCTTTTGCATTAAAAAGAAAACTGTTTTTGTAATACCCAACCTAGCAAGCATTTTTGGAAAGCTTTGACATTTCTCCCCTTTTTCTTTACTCTTTTCTCCTGGGGTGCAGGAATCGGAGCTGACCCCGCCCGGCCGCCATGCCGGAAGGCCAAAGACTTGAGAAAGGAGCGACGTCTTCAGAAAAACCAGATTAGACAAAACGTTGATGGAGTCCCCTCCATTGTTTCTCCTCCCCCCCCCACTGCGGCCCAGACCAAACCCCTGGAAGATTTCATCAATGAGTCACTGCCTGACAACTCTTCTCATTGCCTCGAGGTAAGCAGAAATCTAGAGTGGGTGCTTTCTTTCTTTTTAATGTGACTTGGAATAAGCATTAGCCTTTTGTGATGATTCCATCTTTTCATTTAGAAACAGTTTTAGCTGAGCTCTCTCGATCCAAAATGTTTGGATTCAGTTATCTTGACCTTGGGTTTCATAGAGCCCTCTCCCCCTGCTCCAGTGACTTCACCATGTGTTTATGTGTGTGGAGAGGATAGCTGGCCAGAGCGGAGTGGAAAAACCACCTCTTCCTAGATCTAATTCAACCAAATGACAGACACACACCACACAAACTGGGTTGCGTTTCCCTGCTGATGACATTAAAACCACAGCTCCCCGCTCCTGCTGTGAGAAGACATGGAAGTGAACTTTTGGCAGGGGGCATGACGATGCAGAAAGATCCCTGGCGAAGGCCTCGAGCTGAGGTTGGTAGAGTAACGTCATTCTTGGTATTGACCAAAATGTGAGCCAGATGCAGTGATGAACCCGGCAGTGTCTGTCTCTGGTCTACATGCCCCCCCGCCCTCCGAGACTGCACCCGCAAGACCTCCTCCCAGTCTGCTCTCTCCTATTGGATTAATTATTTTGCCCGCAATTATTGTTCCATTTCACTAAGTGGGCATGAACACTCGGTCGTCCCTTGCAAAGGAAGGATAATTATACGTCTTACAAGGCTAATAATTGGAAGATGTCTCTATTTGACCCATTTAGCTGTTTATTACATGCAGCTAAGCTGCATCTGTTTTGTGGCTAACAGACCATTTGGAGGATAAGCAGTCGAGTGAATCTGGTTCTTAGTCCTGGGCTTCTGAACCGTTGACTGTTGCTACAAGTTTAAAGATTTCAGGAAGTCACAATCGGTACCAGGAAAAACCAAGTTTACACTACAGCATTAAAAGGAATAGTTTGGATTATTTACAGTTGGTTTGAATAAAGTACTTATGCATGGTCAGTGTGTTATCTACAGTTTAGGGTGAGTCAGCACGTCCACAGATTGATTCAGCCTCACTTACACCTTTGGTGTTGTCATAGACTCACCTCTGCTCGCTTCAAGCAATTTCTCTCTTGCCATGGTTAAAACCTGGCGTGTATGAGCTTGGGGAAGCGTATTAGATTAAAATGATTTTAAATGCATAACAAATGGATACTTCACAGTGATAGAGAAGTGACAGGGCTGGCCTTAACTGCAGCTGTGGTTCCAGCGGTCTCCACTAGGGGTCAGTGTGAGATCGTGATTCAGAGCCCCCCAGGCACCAAGAGTCTTCTCTACTGTCTCCACACTGTGCTCATATTAAAAAAAGGTTTTATTAATAAAATATTGCTTACATGTCTAGTATAGTACCTATCTATAACGATGTTCTGTAAAGTATTTGAGATCCAGGTTCATATAATTGGTTAAAGCTTTGATGCGCCATGATCTTTAATTTGAATGAAAGTAAAACAAAAAGCCACTGGTAATATGTGGCTTTATTTATAAAGCCGTCAGGCTGTTGGTGTTACATTTCAAGTCTGTTATGGGAATTGCTAACATTTTAATTTCCATGCTCTCTACTCTCTGCTGCTGTGTTGTTTCACCAAAGGGTTTTAACCCTATCCAAATATCTCTCAATGTAGATTGAAATTAAAAGGGTTGAGCTGCACCACTGTTCTTTTATGTAAGAGGCCCAACGCTTATATTTGACTAAAGGATATAGATGCCAAGTCATATGAGAGAAACCCACTTTAGTCCAACTCAAACAAACCCCAGGTTCAATTCCCTCTATCCTGTCCCTCCAGGGGATTCAAATGGCAGATACTCTGTGGCCAACAAAAGCTTCACAACCATGACATTGTTAATTATAAAGGGCCGGGGGATTTAGAAGATGAAATCTTCTTTTAGTTTGGGTGACAATAGCAACATTCAGACCCTTTTTATTTCAGACACTAAAGTCCAATACTTGATTTCTGAGGCTGATCCTGATAGTGATGAATTGGAAGTTAAAACAATTCTGGATCGATATATCAGCGGATATACTATTTGTATTATTATGATAACACATAACACATAATGGACATTGTGACCAAGATACATCCTGCCAGGGACATTTGACAGTTTTCATGTCAATGTGTCAGTGCTCTCTGGTGGACACACTTCATAATGAAGAAGACACTGTTTTTAATTGATCTCAAATCTAGTTTTTTCTGCTGCATTTCCAATATGTCCAAGTAGGTCTACAATAATATAATATTTGCTGATATTTATCAATCTAGCTCTACTAGAAATCTAGCTCAACTGAACAATGACCAATGAACAGGAGCAACAAATGAAAGCTGATTTGTTTCCCTTATTCTTGAACTTTTCTCATGGTCAGCAAAAAGAATGTGGGGCTGTGAATGTTCGTGAAAATGAACATTGCTATTTCTCTTTATATGATGGCACGGTGAAGCACTGGAGATGGCCCTTAATACACAATACGAAGAGAAGATGGAAACAAAAAAGGCTCATGATTATTCCTGCTCTACCTTATTTTTCTTTGACTTGATTGCTTGTTATTTAGTTATTTGGAGGAACACCTTCTGTTATTCTATGGAGATGGACACAACACAACCTCTTTGTATTATTCTTGTTTTCAAGCTACTGCTAAGGCTACCAACAGCTGCCATTGGTGAAAATAACAAAATCTTATTTGTAAGATGGTTTAAAATCTTCATAGGCCTGTCACCCATTTAAGAGGGTGTGTTTGTGTCCCTCTTTCCTTTCAGACTCCTTTCACACTCTTTTCGCTCTTCTTCCCTCTTTGATTTGTGACAATTTCTTCCCTTTGTTAAGGATTTGAATCACCACTTATGTCATTCTCTGTACTTTGTCCATTTTAATGTTAACCTTTGTCTGCCCGTATTCTTTTTGAAGGTGAGGCTAGTGCGCGCCAATCCCCCTAGCCCGCAGTTCAAAGCCTCTTTCGACGCCTCCTACCAGGTGTACAAACTCTACCAGATGGCCATTCACAAGGACCCTCCTGACAAACCCTCCGAGAGCCAGGTCAGAGGGTGGGGGGCATAGGTCGACCTGCTCTAGGGGTACAGAGGGAGGGAGGGAGGGAGGGACAGGGTCTACAAGTTTGGGCACCTACAGGGACATCAAAAGGATTTTACCTTGGTCTAATCTCTTATGAATATTTTAACCTAGATTCCTTTTTTCATCATATAATGGTTGAAAGTTTATAATTTCTTCAGTGATTTCCTTATTTTAAGTGCTTATTTTTGTTTTATTTGAAAGAATGCAACAAAAGCAATAGTCTTATTTTTTTTTAAATTATTATTAGTCATTATTATTTACCAAAATAGTAAAACATTGTTTATACCTTAAAGGGTAACTTTAGTATTTTTCGACCTAGACCATATTTTCCAAGTTTTTGTGTCTATATGACTAATTTGGACACAAGTTAGAATTTTGACGAGTAATAACTGAGATGGCAGCAAAAGGGCAGCGTCACTGTACATCCACTAAAAGAGTTACATTTTTGCCGGTGCAGGCTCAGATTGTTTCTCTGACAACATTATGGAAAGGACCTTACAGAGAAATAAATAGTTTTTCTTGATCCTGTCCAACCAAAACTTGCTCTGAACTCATAAGCTGCATCCACACAATCTAAATCAGCTCAATACTCACCATTATAAATCTTTAGGGTTACACTAAGCTACTTTTTATATAATCCAACACCCAACTCTGACAACACAGGCACTCATATCTCTAACTTTCCCTCACGTTTCCACCATTATCGTCTAGCATCAGGTCAAGTGACACAATAATAAACAAACCTGATCAAGCTATACTAAAAAAAAGGTTGTACGATCCTTTCCATAATGTGGTCAGACACTTATAATAACACTTTGAGCTGTCAGTGGCAAGAACAAGCACTTTTATTGAACGTATAATGACTATTATTACTACTGTACATTGGACCAGTTCCAAACCAATACCAAAGTTACCCTTTAAGTTTGTAGTGGCTATTATTTGCATTTAAAAATAAATGTCAAAGATTTAACCCATTTCACATGTTTAAATCATAAGGAACCGTCATAAATGTTCCGTATATATCTTCAAACTCCATGACACTGGACATAGATTGTAGTAAATGAACTATTCATGCAAAAACGTTGCAACAACAAACCGAAAGGCAGTTAGAAAGTCTCTGTGATTTCATAAAAAACTGAATAAACATGTCGGTATTAAAATGACTGTATATAGAAGCGTGAATGAGAGGGGGGGGGAAATGTTTCCATACGCCATGGTTGAGAGCAGTGTTTCTCCAGGTGTCTGAGTTGGCCCTCGGTCAGTCAGCCAGGTCTTCAGTCTTGAGCTGTTTTCGGTTTAAGGGGGGGGGGGGGGGGGCAGTTTGTAAGCTGAACCCTCTCGACCTTCACACATTTACCTCGTCTTCGCCCCCATCACTCCACCATCACCATAGTTCCCTGTGTCTGAACTGGAATTGCGCTTGAGGATTATGCAGTGATGATGAGATTCTAATTGTCTTTGTGCGTGCAGCGTCTGTTTTTAACCTTGTTTATCTTCTCGAGAGGAGTCTGTAGAGCTGAAAGATTGTATATATGTCTTTCTGACATGATTCATTGAGACACAATGTTGGACTCTCTGCTTCCCCGGACTTTACACACGCGCAGACAATGTGTTGAGCCTTGAATTACCACTCATCTCCGTGCGGTCTGTGGCAAAAGCTGGGCGGTGCACTAGCCTCATCCTCAAGTCCTTTTATTACTTCAAAAACACACTTTCAGTCTCCTAGAATCCTGTTGTTTTCTCGCTCTGTGTGTTCATTTTGCAGAACAATCTGATAAATACCCAAAACAACTCAAAACAGACCTGCTGTGTTAGCTTCTGGCTTCGGGGTCTGGGAGACTGACGTGTACCCTATGATACCAAGACACTTGTATAACACTGTTTAAAGCTTCTATTGTTGAATCCTGCACTGCCAATTCCTCCAAAGCACCCATGCTTCCTCCTCTTCCTTTTTCTTTCTAACCGTCCTTTGATTTGATTGTCAACCTTTATAAATCCTCCCTCCACACCCTGTGCTTGAAGGTGAGGCTAGTGCCGGTCGACTTTGAGGACCCTCAGTTCGCAGCGTCCTATCAACAGTCGGTGGCGCTGTACGCCCGCTACCAGATGGCCATTCATGGTGATGACCTCAGCGCATGTAGTGAAAGCGAGGTACTGCATGATTATTATTCTGCACCTACTGTACGGTAGGGCACTGCTGCACACGCTTGTTTCAGCATCTTGCTGCTGTCTTGTTGTGTGTCGATTTTTAAAATTAGTTCTCGATATTTTTGACTGTTCTCTTTTTTTTCAATATATTCTGGGATGTTCAACATTACAATGAATATCCTTATTGGAAAACTGTTTTAAAAAATGATGGATTCATTGATAGTGAAAGTAAATCATAGTTTGGAAGCTAAATAATTATTTTAATTGATGATGAAGGCCATCAACAACTATTTCTCCCAGTCCTTTACATGAGCAGTGTGCATTCACTTGGGAGAATTGTAGCATTCATTGGTCCCACGATTAATAATTTTGTCGATTAAAACTTTGTTTTGCAAATGGAAGGGGAAAGCTGTAACTTGAGACTCTACGAAGGAAAGAGAGACAAAGTTCAGTAGTTTTTAAAGTGAAAGAGAAGTATTGTCCAGTAATGAATGGAAATGGGAGACAGTAACCAGGTATAGATTAATAGTTTAAAAATGAATTTTAATGCACAGTTAATTGCACTATAAAACACCTCCATTCCTCCACTTTTACATGTTAAAAGAGAAGAAAATAAAGTCTAGTCAGGATGCAGAGGTGCTGGACAATCTCACTATCCTGAGAGGGCCTTTTGTCCCTCAGGGCTGGAAAAATAACCTCCTCCTCCACCCTCCTGCCAGCAGGCCTCCGTAAATTACTGAGTTCTCCAGCTTGTAAAAGTAAGGTAATTAATAAATAATAAAAGCTGTCGGATTGGGCAGACCGTGGCAGATTCTTTCCTAATGCCATAATAACACCAGCTCTATTAAAGGGAACGTGTGTGTTTGTGTGCGCTTTGGCTCCGGTTTATAACTGTACCGGGATCAGATGGGTTCAAGAACTAGCAGAATAATTTAAAAAATAAATTAAAAAACGCAAAGGTGTGAGGCTCCGTAAACAAATCGGCTGTCTGTTGGGTTTACCAGATCATAAAGATTTTTCTTTTTAATGATTGACTTTCCAGGTTGGATACTGACTGAATGTAGTGTTAAGCACAGAGTGAAATACGGTTGGGTTGATTACGTTTAAAGGCCTTTCATTGTAATTCAACTTGGCAGCCCCACCATAGGGAATTGTATAACAAATGCTTGAATATTTTTTATTCGGACGCTTTTATTAAGATGATGGTGTGTACAATTCATAAGCCATAGTCTCGCCTGGTGATAAGCTTAGGGATTTGGTCACAATTGGACAGCTCTCAGTACGTCCGTTCACACCTGGCAATATAATGCATCTCCACAGGGTGACCTGCTGTGATTGGATCTAACTACCCCATGCTATATGTCAATAAACACATACCGTACTTCATTTTCTTTAACAAAGACTAAACGCTTTGTTTTTAACCGTTGTAAGGCAGCAATTAAAGAAGAATCAAATCAAAACAGACTGGGTGTATTGCCTGCAATATTCCACAAAAACAAAATAGTCAAATGTGTTTTACGCACTCATAATAAATCTCAATGGGTTTTCCGAAATTCCACATAGACAAAACCAGTGATTTGAAAACCAACTGAAGAGGAAAATAAGGAGGATCAGCTTTTAAATTATGAAAAAAAAGTGGTTAAATGCGTTCCAAACCACATGGGCAAGAGGTTTGAGCAATCAAATTACAAAATGTGTGAATGGTCGTTTAAACATGTAATTAGCGCTGTCCACTTCCCACCGCCCAAGATGCATATTAAAGCCAAGTGTAAACAGGGTTATACATTCACACATTTTCTGTGCTACATAGCAATATTCTACGTTTTTACACTATTTATATTTTGACAGACAAAGAGACGACTCCACAACGCTCCAGCCTCCTTGGATTGGCAGCTTTGAATAATGGCTGCTGTTGTCTCATTAATGCCAGAATTGGCGATGCCATGCTGTCCCTTCATTGGATTTGTCTCATTCCTCTGAGGTTTATTTGTTTGTAGTCATCTCTAATTCTTCCAATTTAAGTTAATCTAACTTCATTATAGGCAACTTCCCTAAGTTGGACTCACTGTGACAACCTCTCCTGAGCCCACAGTACTAAACACTACTGATTTTTATTTTGTTCCACGTCAAGCTTCTGGTTAACTCTCCAGTTGTTTTCCCAGAAGCTCAGAGCTCCCCTATTGTCCTGTAGCCCTATAAAGAAATGAGAAACACATTGTTGATGTGGTGATGGCACATGTTGGTGCCATGCCATTCTATGCCTGCTGCTGCTACCGAGAAGTTGAGTCATTTAGGATCTGTGGAGGTATTTATTAATCCATTAAAGTATTACCTAGGGGCTGAGTGTGGAATACCGCCATCCTGGCTCAGAGCCAGGCGATAGCAGAGATTGTGTGTGTGTGTGTGTGCGCCCGCGTGCGTGTGTGTGTGTGTGTGTGCGCGCGTGTGCAAGTTCAATTACCCTGCCAAAATTGTACTACTATTAGATAGTACAATGTCCTAGAGGGGAATGGCTTTGTTTGTTTAAGGATGTAAGCATTTCCTGTCATACCATGACTGGAAAGGAGCCAGACATTATTTCTTCCACATCCAATCATGGTTTTCCTGACAGAGTTGCAGCACAATTATTTAGACATACACGTGCATACACACACACACACACACACGCGCACACTCACACTTACTGGTCTTAACTGTTTTGCTGAGCCGTGACTCTGAGTTCTTGCACATGTGGCATTCATTTTGAAGAAAACAAATCCTGTTAAATCTGTATTTACTCTTCTTGAAGGCCAGGACCTTAACCGAGAAATGCGAAAAGAAAAAAAAAGTATATGGAAAAATCTGCTAAATGGCAACAAATTAACTTGAAAAAAGGAATGAAGAAAATAGCTTTTGGCTCAGATTGGTTCATAAACTAATTGCAACATAAATATGTACAATACAAAAGATGTCTTATATCAGAGCACACAGCATTTTGTCTATTAATCTGTGATTTGCAGCTAGGTTCCTGGAGCTTCTCTGCTGCACGCTTAACTAAACCATTATCTAGTCAGCAAATGTTTGGCTAGGACAGAGAAAGACTTTTTTTTTTAAAGTGAAGAGTTCATACAGTAACATTAAAATGTTGCTAAAATAAGTACAGCAAATTGAGCGAGTAAGGAGCACAATGACTAGAGGTCTAAGTAGCAATTAGTCTTAAGCAGATGTGTGTGTTTAATGTAACTGTATGTGTGTGATGGAAGACGCGATAGTTCGTGTGTGTGTGTGTGCGTGCGTGCTTTCAAAACGGCTGCTTGCCCTTCTAATGGTACACAGATGAGTGTTTACTATAGGAAAGGGAGAGTTAGAGAGGAAGTGATGGACTCCATGTGTTGCACATGAGAACGTTCCAGAGGGCAACATGGACACGGCTCTGTTTACTGGCATGTGTGTTGTTGTACTAGAGATACAGAGAGGAAGCTGGGATTGTATTCACATGTTTGTACCCTTGCTGCCTTCATGCCCGAGTGACTGCGCTTACACATTAGACTGACTATCTCCTGCCCGGTCTGTGTGTGTTAATTACTTTTGGCTTTTTGATTGTTTACGTGTCCGTGTCAGCCTGGTGGTCTGAGTGTCAGTGGCTAGAGAGGAGTCAGTCCTGCCAGGCTCCAGGAGAGCGGCCTCACCCAGCCAATTAACTTTACACAGCAGTGGAAAGCTGCTCCTCGGCTCCTTGGTTTGATTCCCCACATCCAAGAATGCATTTGCATTCATTAACAGGCTCTAATGTGAAAGAGTTCTCACTTTCCATTGGCTAATCGAATAACATTTTAATACACGGTCAATTGGAGATTCACACATCAGCCAGTGTCGTAGCATGGCCTCTATAAATGATGTCATGTAATAACTGCAGCTGTTGTTTCGTAAACCATCTAGTTTTATTTGTAAGGTTCAAACTAAAGTTTCATTTGTGCCCTTAGGCAATATTGCGCAAATTGGGAGTCTTTGCTGTTGGTCATTTGTTCAATTGGCAATGCAGTAGTCAAGTTAGGAGAGGAAAAGTACACTTCTTTACTGGCTTGGACACACAGGTGGGGAACATGATAAGCATTGTTTTGCACGAGAAAGATCATTATCAACAGAACAGATGTAGTTTCTACAGTCTTTCCACATTGAGCATTGAAAGTCAGTACAGCAGAAAGTCCCACATCATCATCAGTTACAGACTGAAGACCCACCTGTTCTGACTACACCTTAGCTAATAAAACAATACAAAATACCCTTCTAATATCTGTTTGTAGGTTTCTTCATTTTAAGCCAATCCAATGTACAGTAACCATTCTTAAATTGGTTGGCTAATTGAAAGCTAATTTAGATTTTTAGGTTTGCATATTCCTCGTTGATTGCACTTGGAAGTGGTATCTAAAACGAATGCAATTGTAATTTAAATGTGTAGAAAATGCTGTTTAGCAGTACAGAATTAGAATACATTTAAATAAAATAATGTTAGCTCTTTACATTTGAGCTTGTTTATAACATTGAAATAGTAGTAGTTTGGTAATAACAAGGTAATATTTAAGTACAACAATGATTTACAAGATTAATAACAAGGGAGTAGCCTGGTGTTAAGTATGGATTTATCTGGTTGTTATAAGAGTGAAATGTATTCAACAGAATTATTTGGATGCCAAAAATAAAGGGTAATAATGAAAAACTATTTTAATGACAGCAAAAATTAATACTATTTAGTAAGAGTGTATTTTCGTCACAATTTGGTAACTTGCTATCAAAAAACTGGTTTAATATTGTGCATATGGTCATACATTATTGGGGTAATAATCTGATAATAATGAGGCAAAAATAGGTTGACGTTTTCACAATATAAAAGGTTACTATTAGGGCACACTTATACATTAAAAATCCAAAGAGTAAATAAACATTGGAAACCCAAATTAGGAATATATTTGCATATTTTGGCTTTCCTGATATTGGGCTTATATTACCGAAATTACGTAAATCATAAATAGGACGATTTTACCCGGTTATTACTTTGGTAATTGCATGGTTTTCCTTTACTTGTCCCTATTTCATATTAAAATATGACTCCACTATTACCATGTTATTAAGTAGCATTTGTAGAGTTGCCATTTACTGCTACTTAAAGTTCTCTTGGCTCAATGGGGGTTGCAGTAATTTCAAGTGAATACTTTGCAAGTGCACATGGCCCTTATGGCCTAGAGCAGCAGAATGTAAAGGTACAAATTACATTTTATTACATATTGTTGTATTTGAGCCATTCTGTCTATCCCCCCCTCCTCTCCCGGTGTGAGGTTTAGTCTGGTAAAAGCAGAACTGTGCGTTGCATCTTGCTGAAGTATTCAGCTCTGCAGGGTGCACAGTTTGTGAGTCTTTTATAGCTCACAACAACAGCTCTCAGCAAGAAGTGCTTTTTTCAGTTATGTGTTTCTTCAGTTCTGTACACTAGCTGTCTTCCTTCTCGAGCCTCATGTCTAATAGATTTACTTATTTTCCTGACTGGTGCTTCACTAATAATTTGTGAATTTAGTCATTTTTATGACAAGAATCCAACTCAAGTGGGCGAGTTTGAAGGGAGCAAAACAGTTTGCTTCAGGCAGAGGTAAAATAGAAATGACAGATGACAGTGCATCATTTGTTAGCCCTGCTCTGCCAAAAATGTCCCCCGTGTTAGAGAACACCGCGTTGGTGTCATCAGCACACACGTCAGCTGTGGCAAGCACACAGAGAACCACACTCTTTTTTTGGGTGAGTGCAGGATACTGGCAGGACTTTGAGTTGCACTTAAGCTATGACTGTCCCACCCAATGAACCCGGCCTTCAGCAGGCTGTGCTATTACTAGCTTTACTACTGTCTTCATAGAAACAAACAAAAAGAAAAGGTGGTTGTGGGTTTTCCAGTTACTTGTTTAACTTATTAGTTTTGATAAGAATGGGAGACATATTTTCTGTCCCAGTATTGGGCTGTACAGAGCTGCTGTGTGTACAGAATTATGATGAATCCATTTATTGACCAAGACCTATGTGAGGGACTAGTCTTAGGTCATGAAGGGCAGAGACGCTTGTTAGACAACCGAACATCTGTCAGTCGAAACATCTGGTTGATGCGGTTGAATGTTCGTAAGCATTGTGTTTCTACATTGTAGATGACCAGGAGACAGTTGGTGGGTCTTCCAGCTCAAGTGGTTTACACTGAAATCTGTTCGACAATCTGCTTATTATGCTAATTAGCATATGTTGCTAACGGCGTACAGCTAAAACGTTTCTGAGTGGAACTTGTGGTTTTGAAATTTGGTTCCACATTATGTGCATCTACATACTGTGTATTCTGTGTGGCTAAATGCCTCCTGTCCCGTGACTTTTTGATAACCTAAAATCAGTACCAGCCCTAAACATAACTCATACCCTCTTGTTTATTTAGTTATTCTGAAACCTCTCCATCCTACGTTTATGATACTTGCTATTCTAGACTCCTGTCCTGCTCACCAGAGAGAGGAACAAAAAGGTTGAACATCTCTGCAAATGAAAGACACAGTTGTGAAACATTTTTCCTATGAAATATGAACTTGAAACTGTGGTGCGGTGCATGAGGGCGAGATAGAGCGAATAAACCAAAAGCTGTCCGTCACTGCTCCACTGTGGCCGAGCTGGTTCTCATTATGCGTCGATTTTGGCCCTAAACATGGAGGTATGCTCCGTTTGTCTTGCAGTACTGCTTGTCTGTAAACACACTGCTCTTAACCTTGGCGGTAAAAAAGGAGGAGGAAATAGTAGAGAGAATGGAAGAAAGATTTAACATTTCTAAAGTCCCCCAAGTAATTGATATCTCATGCACATTTTAAAGTGTGTTCTGGGGAATGCTATTTTGACGGCAGCCCTGATTATTTAAGTTGTCACTATGTCCTCCCCGGACTGTGAGTTTCCCTTGATAGGCTAAATGTTTTCATTTGTGTAAATACAATTTTCTTTTTCATGTCCCTTTCTGAATGAGGGGGGGGGGCTGCATATGATATGTGACACCTCGGTTAGGAGAAAAGAGGGAGACTATATACTAAACTATATAGGCGAGCCAGGGAGACATGTATGGTTTTCATTTCTGCTTTTTCAAAAGAGTTAGTGACCCAGAATACTAACTGTTTTTCTCTCTGTTCCCCCCCCCCTGCTGCCTCCCTCCACAGTTCCGGAGATTTCTCTGTGATTCACCACTAGAGGTATGTATTTCCTTTGGCCTGTTGACATTTTAATAAAACCACCTTTAAAATGTCTCCCTTCATCCATATGTGTTACCTGTAATGATTTAACAACACCCAAAATGTCCTCCCGGTGAAATTACTGTCATGGTGATGATGATAATGTTTGGAAAAATGTCCACTTTCAGTATTCAGTTCTCCATCAAACACGCTCAAAGGACACGAAGGTTCACTTAATTCCTCTCCTCCAGCACATACCTACCCGACCACCTTTGCTCTCGCTCTTCAAGAGCCCTCCAGCTGGATTGAAGGGGGGTTAAGGGATTCAGGAAGAGGTTTTTGTTTCATATCAGAGGGGTTTTAATTTAGTCCTGTCCAAGAGAAAGGAGGTGTTGAGGGAAGAAAATAGAAAAATGTGGTGTCCAGATTGCGTTGTGAGCACCAGAGACTTTCCTCTGGCATTCACAGAATGGGACACACTACTGCTCTTCATATTATGTGTTGCAGATAACCGTTTGATGAGGCAGCTTTGTGGACTTCAATTAGGGACCTAACAGATGGTTACAAAAACAAGTTATTGTTTAGGCATCATGGGAAATGTCTATTGTCTCCTGGTGCATTGATACAATCTTGAATGAAATCCATTGGCTGATTGGATGCTTTTTTTTAGATGCTTAAAATATGATGGAATTTGGAAAAGGATTCAGTGTTAAGCTATGGTATTCTCTGTGATCGCTGAGTTGGATGTGGAAGCAGCAAGGCCTCACTGAACACATAGCAGTATACTAGAGTGTTATTTTATTTATTCAAAATTATTGTAATTAACAGAAAACACTACCATTTCCTTTACTTCTACGGTGGCTGACAGGTGCAAATGCGTTACACTAGCCCAAAACACTTCCATCAGGAGATTTGCTAAGTTAGCTAGCTAGCAAATCTGCAATACTATCGGAAGGAATCATTTGATAACATTGTTTAAATAAGGCAATAAAAGTAATTTTTTTTATTAAACGCTGCGCGTTTCATCAAGTTGGTTCCTGTTTTCTAAAGAGAGTTTAGAAAGGATGCATGTGTTTTGGCACATTTGTGCTTTTATATTATGATTGACATTTTCCTTTTGTTTTGGGCAGTTGTAGCGCCTGCACCTGTCATCCATTGTACTTTTCTCTTTATAAAATGTAGTATCTCTATTGAAATAACTATAACTCCATTTGGGTTATAGGATTTTCTCAATCTCTAACTCAAGCAAATGTATTGGAGAGAGACAAGCTCTGCCGCTGTGCTAGACATAAAAAAAACAGTGCATGTAAATTTGACTGGCACAGACTTTGCTATATTTTAGATCAATGGCCATTCAAGCTACAGATCGACAGAATAAGGATTGATCGGAGTAAATCCCTTCTTAGCAGGCCTTTTTTGAGCTGCAGCCTTCAGAAACATCATAGGACCTGTTGGGTCACCCTTAATTAGACCCAGGATGGGCACTTATACCAGCCACTTTAATAGGACTGAGGGCGAGGAGCACACACAAACTGACTGACACACAGACACACAATAACAGTCACTCGGTGTTGCCCTGTGGGCCCCCTCAGGTCTCCACTAATGAACATCATTAGTGTTTATAGGAAACAAGCTTTTATCACCTCGTCAAGGCTGGCGGCCTGGCACTCTGAATTACACACTTCTGCACACACACACACACACACACACACACACACACACACACACACACACACACACACACACACACACACACACACACACACACACACAATCACAATGTGGCACACTGCCTCACATATCTTCCTTCGCCGTCCCTTCCTCTTCTTCATTAGTTTGGCATCCTCTCGTCCGAAGTGTTTTTATTCCTTTCTCTGATCTTCCTCTCTGTCTTCTCCTGTCTCTCTCCAAACACTCTTCTTTTCAGAGTGATTATGTGTGGCTTTCTGCGCTACCTCTGCGTGTTGGCCTCATCTGTCTCCAATCAGAACGCTATTAAAATACACACACACACTCAGCACATGGACCTTTATACTGTGTGGTTCAGCTCACATGTAATCCTCCATTTATACAAATGTATGCAAACGGCATAATTACAAATCCAACTTCAGCTAATTAGCATGCATGTTGTCTGACTTGTTTGTATGTTGCTATGTTTAATTTCCCATACAATTATGAGATTTCATGCTGAAACTGAGGTAATTAACAGCCCTAATTGTTTTAATCCACACATGTAAACACATTTGTGCATTCTGATAAACAGTGGCTTGTATACATGCAAACATGATGAGCAGCAGTCATGCAGGTGTCTGTCCCTGCCTTAGTGAGGCCTCAGTGGCATGTGCTGGACAAACTTTTGCTTTTATAGGCTGTGTGGGGGATCGTGCTCTCATTCTGTTTCTATTTATTTTTCTTTACAGCCTCCTAATGTGCCTAACCAAGGGGCAAACACTCATTAACAGGGCTGTTGGCCAATTAGTCACTACCTTTTTTATGGCCACGGCTCTCAGTTTTTTCTCCCTCTGTCCTTCTGTGACTTGGTGTATCTTTCTTTCCCTGAGATGGGGAGAATGATGTAAAGAAATAGAGATACACATCACCAGGGAGAGAACCAGCTGACATACCATAATTGTGAACACACTGTACATGCCTCCCCAGCTAGAAATGTTTGGTTCTAAAAACATTCTGAGAATGTTACCATTCATTGTTCTAGGAATGTTTTCAGCTGGAAGTTTTATTTTGGTTCCCAGAATGTTCTTCTGAAAGGTAGGATAACGTTCTCTAAAAACATTCTTAAAATGTTTTGTGATGATCTTCAAATATTTTTGATAACATTGTTCGAACATTATGCCCTACTATTCTTAACCTGTGGGGGACTGCAGGTTTTTTTTTCTTCACGAAACTGTGTCTCAGGGCTTCTTAACATTTAACAACCTATTAATGCGTCATACCCACTTAACGGGAAGAAACTGAACTAACTGACGATACGAACCATTTTTACCGAAACAAAATAAGTCTCACAAGAAGCGTCTAAATGAGCCCTGAGCGTAAAAAATGCTAACGCACTTAGCGCAGAACTTACGGTAGAAATACTTTATCACTTATCGGATCTGCACAAACACAATATCAGATTAAAGCTGAGATTCCACAGATTCTAAAAGTATTAGTATCATCACTGTGCGATCAAAACGGCAGGGGAAGCAAACCCAGACATCACACCACGTAGCTTTACGGAGCAAAAACTGCAAATAGTCTTACCTTTGCTGTTGTTCTGATCAAAAGTTGTGTTCAATGGCATTACAATGATAAAAACGCTGCTGAAGGTTAATCCATAGGTTAATCCAATGTGTCTGTGTCACTTTGAAATGATTACTGATAATCCATAATCATATTTATGGAAAAAACTGAGTTTTCATGTATAGCTGCTATGATAGCTACGAGAGTGTATGACAGCTTCCGGTTTTGGCATTCTGGCTGCGCATCACTCTATTCACAAATGGGTAATGTTCTAATGTTTAGATGGTTTTTATGAACTTTCCCTCGATTCTATTGGCTCTAACGGTTAAAAGGAGGTGTCAATCATCAAAATCGACCGATGAGTTCCAGAGATATGGAAAATGCACCCAAATGACCCCAGAAGTGTTTTTTCCCCCCTAAATCTCTCTAAAAAGGTCAAATTTAACTTGTTTTGCATCAATCTTGATTGATTGATTGATTGATTGATTGCGCGCGCGCTCATACGGACTTTGGCACAAACCTGGTTTGTTTTTTAAAGCGCTCTACAAATAAATCTGATAATGACCATGTTAATATTTCACATCACAGCAACGTTTTATAAAAAAATAATAACCTCCTGAAAACTTATAAAAAAACGTTCTGTCATCTCAGGCCTCAATAACATCCTGAACACATTTTCTGAATGTTGCTTTGAAAATGTTCTTCTTTTGTTATCATGTAACATTGAGGTAATGTTTTATAAAGAACATCTGTAATGTGTTACCGCAATAACGTTCCACCTTTTGTTACATATCACATTAAAGGAAAGTTTTATATAAATCTTTCTGTCATCTCAGGCCTCAATAACATCACCAAAACATCCTCTGAATGTTGCAGTTAAAACGTTATGTCTTAATTCATCTTAAACCTTATAGGAACATTATTTAAAATGATAAACATCCCCAAAAGATTCTTTGAACATCAGAGTAAAACGTTTTCTTTAAAACATTATCAGAACCTGTAGGTAACATTAGCCAAAGTTGTGAGAATGTTCCCTGCTAGCTGGGTCAGCTGTAAGCTGAAAACGGAAAAGTCGGCCAGCTGTAGCTCTAGTTAAACAACAGGACAGCTCTGTCAGGGACTTAAGTGCTAAAACAAATGTATATATATGTGCATTCTGACATGCATATGATAGTGTTGCTCATATGCTACACCTGCAGCCTTTCATACTGGGTCCTGTGTTCATTTGCTGTTGTGAGTGCATGACATTTGTGAGTGAAAGAAGGAGAGACTTTGAAATATGTGAGTTCAACATCTGTTGTAAGTCAGTGCCAGAATCACTGGAGCGTCATTGCTTCTGTACTGTAGCACTAACAACCTTGATGTTGCACAAAGTTGTTTTTATGCTGAAAAAACAAGTGGTAACACTGTAAACCCTTATTTTCTACTGATATATATATATATTTGTTAGTTAGTCACAACAAAGCAAGTATGGACAAATGACAAAATGTGGCCCTCAACAAACTAGATAAGGTTTGTTTTTAGCCTGGTTGATGTTTGGAAAGTCCTTTTGCTTCTGAAGCAATTTTTTATCTCTTGCAGCCCGATTGGCCGGTTAAAAGGAGTGAGAAGTCAGCAGTTAATAATTGTATAAAACACTCAATAAAATGGGATTTTCCAAATGGATGATTCACCCAATATGCACATAAAATATTAGAATGATGTGTCCAATTGGATGCGAGTTGAGCTGCAGACAGATACACACACACACAAACTAATTCTCCCCACATGGTTGAGCCTGGTGGAAATAATAATACAAGAAAAAGTACAAATAAATATGATAAATAAAAACACATGAGGATCAAAATACAGCTAGCAACATTTCCTGAAAACAAGTAAGTCATTGTAAATGAAACCAGTCTCATACCAAATACCTTGTGACTATTGTTGTGAGGAGATGGAATAAACCCAAAGCCATATTCAAAAATCTATTCTTCAACTAATATCTGCCACATCTTCTTAGCACAAGCCAAGTCTTTCTCCAATCTGCTCTTGGAAAACCATTTTTAAACAACCGCTTTGGTCACACATTTTTTTTATCTGAAGTTGAAGCTTTTTAACTCGTATTTGTATCTTTTCACGTGGCCCTGAGGACATTTGTGTCTACTCACATCTTTGCATTGAATATAACGGCATACAAAAAAAATTACTTGGCATTTGCCTGAACTCACCTTAATAGCAATATTGAGGTAGAATTTGCTAAAATAAGTAAATCAACACATTCTATCAACTTTGAACAGTCCAAGAAAAGTTTCAGTATTGCATACTAGGTTACAGATTCTGAAGATTTTAAATGGTGGAAACCAAACATGCAGTACACCACCTCCCCACTTTGTCCAGACGTGCACCCTGCCCACACCGCCCTGTATTTGAGGCCATATGAGAGCGATTTGGGGGCTGCAGGGGAAGCTCTGAGGTGGTTTAAAGTGTTCCAGAGAATGTTTAGATTGTTGTCACAGTGGCAAGGACACAACCATTAAGCTGTCGTCTGAGGTGACGCACAGGTCAGTCAGGCAGAATCGGCCTTGAACGGGGGAACAAACAAGCAAACCCAGACAGACGTTACTTATATCGCACACAGGCATTTACATTTATATAACTGTGCCCAAGCATGTATACTGGAGGTGGGGTAAAGGGAAAAAAATCTCCCTCTTTCACTCTGATCACCTCACGCTCTTTCCCTTTTACTTACAACTTCTAAACTGACAGAGGGGCCTCTGACAAAGCCTCCAGTGTTTCTAGTGGAACCGGTGCCAAGAAATAACAGGCTGTCTGCTTTAACAGACAGACAGTTCCCTCAATACACACGCACGCACGCGCGCACACGCACACGCACACGCACACAGCCTAATAGAGTGCAGTGCTTGCTCCAGATGTGATGCCTGTCACCCTTCAACACCCCTAGCTGTCCTCTTATTAACTTTGATTTTTTTTTAAATCGTCCCTCTTTTTTGCCTCAATTCACATCATCTTTATCTTATAATATATCATATCTCCTCTGATGTGGATCAGCATTTAGACAATGTAATCATCCCCTCCCACTCAACTTCCCATACACAGAAGTAATGGACTGGTATATATTGTGTCTGACAGGTAATCAGAATTGAGTGTTCATGGGGCCAGATATCATTATATTTTTTTACTAACAGCTCTGCTCAAAGCTACTAGATGTTAATGGCCAATGTGGTTTTGTTTGCCGGATTGAAGACTGCATTTCCCATGAACACCCATGCCTTGTGTTGTAAAGTAGCATTTTGTTTGGAAGCAAATGGAAAAAGATACATTCGTTTTACTTTTTCATTTTTTTTAAAACCAAACTTAGCCAATGAATCAGCTAGCTTTCTTTTAAATGTATTTTATAAATACAATAGACATAATACATACCACTCAAGGAGGAAAAGGAACAATTATCGAACAGTTTTTAATATTTTCAAATCCCACATTGGTGGTGATTGGTTGAATGACCAATCAAAGTTGACTCGCCCCATGCTCCTTCTTGCTCTTTCAAACGTTTTCTTTTTTTTTCTTTGCTAAATCTCCTCCAGCATCTGCCATAACCGCAATATCATTTAAAAAGTACTTCTTATTAACTGCCACACGTCCTACACGCTGACAAACTTTTCATGCAAGAATGTAAACATAGACTCTCCTTTCTGCCATAAATCCGTTGCTGGGAATTGGACCCAGTGACAGGCATTAAGAATAACTTTAGAAAATGTGCTTGCTGATGGACATATAGAAGCATCACTATTAAATTCAGACTGTTTCATAACCAGGCAAAAACTCCTTGTAGTGTTTTTTAAAAACCTTACATGGTACTAAAGAGGAATGTGGCAAAGAGTCTCCCTGTGGGTGAAGCTTACCCCTTTGGTGTGTGTGTGTGTGTGTGTGTGTGTGTGTGTGTGTGTGTGTGTGTGTGTGTGTGTGTGTGACAGAGAGCGTATCTGTGCAAGAAAGTAAAAACAGTCCCATTAAATACCACATTCTCATTCCACTGTGATTTATATATTTGACATACAAACTATATGGCACACAAGAGTTTTACTATGGTTTTGACCAATGACCACGTTCCCTCTTGTGTTTTTCCTCTCGTTGCCTCTGCTCAGGCGGAACATTCTCCAGATGGGCCCGAGGAGGGCTACGGCTCCTTCCATCAGCAGTACTGGCTGGACGATCGCATCGTGGCGGTGGGGGTGATCGATATCCTGCCTACCTGTGTGTCCTCTGTCTACCTGTACTACCACCCAGACTTTGCCTCACTGTCTCTGGGCTCCTACTCTGCTCTCAGGTTGGTTTCACATGCTTCTCAGATCTCAGACACAGTTCCCAAGTTAAGAAGCTTCCAACTTTAGTCAGTTTGAGTTTTGTTACCATGCTATCCAAGCGTGCTGGAACAGTTTGAAGCTTCATAGAAATGATTATGTCCCAAACGTGCTGCTGCACCAGTACATTCCCTAAAGCTTTTAAAATATTGCCCATCACTTTTTTGCAGATTTTTGTAAATTGATGTCGACAGCAAGCACCAACTGCAACCTATCCACTATTATAAATTACATGCGAGCAAAAAAATGCAATACTTGAATTTGTAAAGTCTATCTCAATCATCCCATCTACTTTCATCCACCAAGTCAAAATGTGTACTTGTTGCGACTTGAAAGGATCGTTCATGAGAATTTCTCCTGTCAAGAACACATTTTTTTCTATTTATCCAACGGCTCATGAATGCAGCATTTAGACACTCATCGTTAGTTTTCTATAGTTTTGAAAGTGTTCATATAGTTCAGGTTCCAATAGCATGTCAGGACAATATTGTTGTTGCTCACTGGCACAAAGAAGATACTGTCATATTTTCTGATTATCGGCTATTGAACAAAATATCTAATCAGATATAGAGCATATTAAACACAACATAATCAGGACATCCCCACATTAGTTGTAAAATGATTAGTGTAATGATTTGATGTAGCTCACTTGAGGAGAGGAATGTCTCTGCTTTCTTTGCTATGCATTCCCTTCTTTGTTCTCCTTCATTCCTCCTCCCTTCTCATCCCCTCATATTTGCCCTCCCCTTAACCTGCTCTCTCCCTGACTCTTGATCTTTGGGTCTCCTCCCAAATCTCTATCTCTCCTTAGAACTGTATACTATAAGTGCCATAATACCGTAGGTTGGAGAAAAGTACCTCTTTCTTCACACATGATTGGCCGAGGCAGTGCTCCGTTTGTGGCTGACGACAGTTCCGCCTGCCAAGATGAAATAAGAGAACACACACGTACTCTACGCTACAGGTGCACATATCTGGCGTTTCCTGTAAAATGTAACCCAATAATGTGAGAAAGGCTTTTTTAAATATCTCTGCACAGATGTGGGAGACTGGGTGATCTCGGCTTTTAAAGTTGCCGTGTGCGAGTTGTGAGCGGTCATTTGTTTGTATAAAGTCAGCCCAGCAGTTCGGACAGACTCTCTGCTCACATAGAGGGAACACCCTGGTCATCATAAGCACACGGCTCCACATCTCTTTATTATTCCAAGAGTCTGAGTCCAAGAGTAACACAGAGGAGGAGGCCTTTGAGAAGGGAGCCAGCGGGACTAAAATCCTCCCGCCTGTTTACAGACACCAGAGCCCCGGGCCTTTGATCAGGTCTGGACCCTCCCTCGTCTGCTGGGCCTGGCCGACTCTGACCAAAACGTACTGTTCAGAATGCATGTGCGCACACACCTCCATGAAACGTGTACAAACATTCATTACATTAGATGCTGTTTATTCTCAGCAGCTAGCCCAACTGGATTGGAACCGGAGCTGTTCAACCGTGGACAAGTGCACTCCTTTAAAACAACAGCATTTAAACAAAGTCATGTAGATACACTGAACAAAAATATAAATGCAACACTTTTGTTTTTGCCTCCCATTTTTCATGAGATGATCTCAAAGATCTAAAACATTTTCTATATACACAAAATAACCATTTCTCTCAAATATTGTTCACAAATCTGAAAAAATCTGTGATAGTGAGCACTTCTCCTTTGCCGAGATAATCCATCCCACCTCACAGGTGTGGCATATCAAGATGCTGATTAGACAGCATGATTATTGCACAGGTGTGCCTTAGGCTGGCCACAATAAAAGGCCACTCTGAAACGTGCAGTTTTGCTTTATTGGGGGGGTCTGGGGGGGTCCGAGCATGTTTGGGATGCTCTGGATCGGCGTATACGACAGCGTGTTCCAGTTCCTGCCAATATCCAGCAACTTCGCACAGCCATTGAAGAGGAGTGGACCAACATTCCACAGGCCACAATCAACAACCTGATCAACTCTATGCGAAGGAGATGTGTTGCACTGCGTGAGGCAAATGGTGGTCACACCAGATACTGACTGGTTTTCGGACCCCCCCAGACCCTGAGGCTGTGTGAAGTTGCTGGATATTGGCAGGAACTGGAACACGCTGTCATATACTTCGATCCAGAGCATCCCAAACATGCTCAATGGGTGAGATGTTAGGGTTAGGGTTTAACCCTAGTTTTTTTGGACCCCCCCAGACCCCCCCAATAAAGCAAAACTGCACGTTTCAGAGTGGCCTTTTATTGTGGCCAGCCTAAGGCAC